ATATTTTACATAATTGATTAATAAGATCCACACACACACACACACACATATATATATATATATATATATATTGTATTATAAAGGATTTGATAAAAATTTCTAAAAATCATATTTCATACATAAAATACTGTTTATTGATGTATATTACTTGAAATTCAAGATTATAAGTAAATTACGCATAAATACAACTTATTAAGTTTCATATTTGAATCCGTGTAACCAACTGCAGATAAATTTGGGTCTGCCTCACCTTATCATATTTAGTCTTTGCTTTTTTAGTTTTTGGGTATAGTCATAGATTAATTTTGTTTGGGACTGTTGGCTTTGTAGTTTTTGTTTTGTACTTTGACATTTATATCTCCTTGTTTTCTTTATTATTTTTTTTGGTTGGCTAGGAGAAGGTGATGGTCATGCCGAAACTCTCTTCCTAGTTCATCCTTCTTTGTCGTTCAAAAAAAAAAAATACGAAATACGATTCTCATTTTAAATATAAAAGATTATAAATATAATTAAAATAATTATTGAGTTTTAACAAAATACTTAATCATTATATTTATAAAAGATTATATTATTAAACTAAAAATAAATTAATTCGTTATTAAACCTAAATTAAATTATAATAAAAAATTGAAATGATGAGAACTTTTAAATTTTTATGACATCTACAAATTTATATTTTATAAAAAAAGATTATTGTTTGCTCAAAACCACATAAAGTCATATTATAACATCGAGACAAAAAATAAAATGAAACATTAAAATCAAAATATATATCGCTACATTATGCGAGTACTCTTTTAGTTATTTTAAATCCAAATCATTTTAAGAATATTATTTTTAATGAAAAAAAAATTGTATAACAAATTATTTTATTATTTTTAATTTAATATTCATATCTATCATATTTATATTTTAATTTTCATATAATAGTATTCAAATTTTGAATAGGTGTATATTTAGATGTAGGTATATCATAGATTTACGATTTTTTTACAGTACAAAAAATTATATACAACATTTTCGCTGTTGATGATGCTTTGAAACCATTGACTTCTAAAAAAAAAATTGAGTAACAAGATAATAACTGGTGTAAAAAAACCAGAGTCATACGTAGAAACGAACAAGAACCTCAATGGTTGGAGCTGGACCATACTTTGAATTGACTACGAATCCATATGCGTGGAGATGCCGGGAATCTAAATATGTTGTTTGTATTGTTATAGTTTTTTAGAAATTAAATAAAACCTAACTTTTATTCTATAGCATATTTATTGTGGCGTATACCAAACAACAACGGTGGATCCAGCCTTTAAGCATTAGGGGGAAAGGCATTCCGTCAAAAACCAAAAACCTTCGTTGACTAGCTTAAATTTCTATTTTCACCATCGTTTTACATGGTTTCCCGCCAGTCCCATATGACCATATGCTTCTCTCCCCCAAGTCCCATCCAACGTGCCCCTATCCCATTAATTTTCTGGATCCACCACTGAACATGACAGTTTCGAGCTATGGTTTGCTCATTTTTTAAATTAAACGATATATAATATATTTAGATTCCACCAACTTTTTCTTTCTTTCTAGTTTTGCTTATATTCTCGTGTTTTCCAGAAGTTCTATTTTGTTATATACTTGTGTATCGGATATGACGAATAATTGGTTTTTTTGGCTACGGTATCTAATTATTGATTTGGATTCGAAATGATAAAAAGAAGAATTATTTGAACTTGAAATCGCTTTCTATCTTTGAATATAATTTCTTAATTGGATAGACTTAACAATATCAAGTTCGTTTTTCTACGTCTCGCGCGCAATCAGTCGACAAAAGGATGAGGTGACTTAACCCAAATCTAATACAGGTCTAGGGTTCGACCTGAGGATTACGCCACTAGCCTGAAGTACTGATTGAACCAAAAAATGTCCTTAGAGGCAGATAGAACAAATAAACTCACACACCCTTCTCATATTTGATGAGCTTTAAAGACTCACATACTGTTAGGCCAAAAACCCTTTGGTATCACTTGTAAGGTTTTTATATACGAATTATCTTGAATATCTTATCTGAATTGTCATCGATAAACATCGAACATAGTCAATACATGATGATAATAAGTAGGTCATTTAAAATTTTATATTTAAAAAAAAGGTAATGTGATGGCTCTTGATGGTTTGAAGGTATCAAGAGCCTTTAACTTTACTCAATTATTGGTTCATGTTCTTGCCCTTTTAACCTTATTTCATCTTCTCCACTTTTCATGTATTTTTCTTGTTATTTATACAGATATAACTGGATTGGGTTAAATAAGACAGAATTGGACATGATAAGATAACACGACTGAATATGACAGAACAAGAGAGTAGGATTGGATAAGATAAGACTATACAGAACAATTGTCTGTCTTATATTTGGTACGACTAGAACCAGAAAGGATATGGTTAGACAAGTTGTTCTTAAAAGTTGTTTGATGATTTTATATATTATATAATTGTTATAAGAGTCGGGTTCAAATGAGAATAGTAACTAATGGGCCATTTACCAAACGCTTACCCGGATAAACGATTACCAAGTAACATTACCTCATCAGATGAGTATAGTAAAAGCCAAGAATCTTATCCAATAATCTTACCATATGCATTAGGTAAGGTAATATAACTTGGTAAACACTTATTCGAGTAAGTGTTTGGTAAACGACCATTTCTGATTTCATCACTACCATAAACACTACTGTAGATAATAATGACCACAAATAGGGCCTAAAAATGCCTATATTTAAACAATTGAAAAGATGGTTTTCATGGTTGGGAGGCACCAAAAGCCACCTACTCAATTGTTGGTTCAGGTTCTTCCCCTTTTATCCGTATTTCTTTTCATATATTTTATTCATTTTGTTTTGTAATTAAAAGCCCATATCAGTGGTTTTGGAGTTTGGACTGCTTTAAGTTTGGACTTTAAAAGTAAAAAGTTTCTGAAGGTTCCAGGTTTAAATCTAAATAGGGAATAAAAATCCTATATTTAAGTACACAAATTATTTTATTTATTTTCCTTTTCAAGAACACAGATAAAAAAAAAATTGTTTTCCTTTTCTTTTCTCCCCAAAATCGAGAACACAACGTAAATGTATGCGTGATTTGTGCAAGCGTGTTAAAAAAATAACTCAACCCCCACTTGGTTTGCGAGATTGGAATTACATTCCATTCTATTTCCACGTTGGAATTAAAGGAAAGTACGAAATTGAAATCCCGGAATCTGAATAAATGTCATGGGGGATGGTTGAATTTCATGAAATTTTCAGGATTCGTTTGCAATAATGTTATATAAGTTAAAAACATTCGTCTTATAATAATGGATTAATAAAAGACAATTTAATTATTATTTTCAATTATTTATAGTTTGTTCTTATAAATTCAGTTCCACTCCAAATCATATAAATCAAACACACCAAATATTTCAAATCATTTCACAAACCCAAATTTCCATAAACTTAAAACCAAACTCCCATCCAAGCTCAAAGTATTCGTATATGTCTTAGAGCATTTTCAACAAGTATGCTGTATTTTTATATTTCTGTTTCCCTCTTCTTCTAAAATTTTGGAGATTTCTCCATTTTCTATCTTTTTTTTCCCTGTATTTTATAGGAGATTTTAGTATAACTACTGATACAAATTTTTCTGAATCTCAAAAGGGGTGTTTGATAAGAGGTATTAAGCAGTAATCAATGAGAATGAAAATAAAAGAAATTGTTTGATTTTTTATAATATAATGGGTCCATTCCTTCAGAAGTCCAGATTTTCATTCCAGGTTAAACCGAGGGAAATGGAAATTCATTCCCATTTTCATTCTTTGTCATTTTCATATTCATACCTATTTTTATTCCTCTGTCTGAACCAAACGTTTCCTAAATTTTTTAAAATAACATAACTGTATTGTAGATGATTTTAAAGAAAAAACCAATTGTATAGTTTTTTTGAAACGGGCCGTAAAATTGTAGGTGGGTTTACCTATTGAAGCCCAATTTAACTTAGAGCCCAATGAAAAGCAGCCCAATATGAATTGATATTTTGGGCCGGTAATCGTTTTTGAATATCATGCTGGTATTCTTTCCAACTAGAAATTGCTTCTCTACTCTCCGAGCTATTCATCAGCGACTTCGAACGGGAACGATCGCGGATATGGCGGCCAGCGGTGACGTTCCTCTAAATAATACCATATACATCAACAATCTCAACGAGAAAACCAAGCTTGATGGTAAATTCCTTTTCACCTGCGTTGCTAAACGCCATTTTGCCCTAGTTGCTCTTCGTTTATGCTTTTCATTCGATCAATGTTTATTTGAATGTTAACGTTTGTGTGTGTGTGTATGTGTGCAAATGTTTGTGGAAATATAAGCGTGAGTGATTAATTTTTTTCAGAGCTGAAGAAATCGTTGCAAGCGGTTTTCTCGCAATTTGGGAAAATATTGGAGATACTAGCATTCAAAACCCTAAAGCACAAAGGACAGGCTTGGGTTGTTTTTGAGGAAGTTTCGTCTGCCACCAGTGCTTTGAGACAAATGCAGGGATTCCCATTCTACGACAAACCCATGGTGTGTTGAATTTGGTTTCTAATTTTTCTTATTTTTGTTATATACGTCGTGGTTAGATATTATGCTTAGTGTGGATATTGATATTACCTTACTCTTAGTTGGGATTCTTCTACTTTTTTCTTCTTCGTTTAATTGGATTTTAATTCTTTCAACACCATCCAGCTTATTGCTATGAGTAAAAATTTTAATCGCCAGTAATTACAATGAAGTGGAGCCTGAATTTGAGGCTTGAAATGGAGTGCGAGCTGGTTTAGTTCCAAAATTGTAGCTGATTTTTTAGTTCAGTTACAATTCCAAGCTCAATCCCCTACCATGGTGTTGGGGTTTGCAACTATATCTGTTAGTCTTCTGATTAATCCCATCAGGGGATCTAGAGAGAAATGCACTCTTTCCATTCATAGCTTGTCAGGCTAGAAACCTAACCTGAAAAAGTAAAAAATCTGTAGCTCCATGTGCTGAAGGTCTTCAAGGCCTGCAAATCAGTAGCTATTTATGATAAAAACAAAAGCATCATTGATAACATAGAATGTATGATGTACTATGATGTTTGTATATCAGCATGGCACAACTTAGAAGGGTAGTGTTGATATACAAATGTTTGTATATCAGCATATGCATATAGAATTGCAAATAAAAAGAACTCGGTTAGGTGTGTCTAATCACATTAATTATATAAAGACAACTGAAAATGATATAATCTAACAGCCATGGATGAACGATGCTTCCTTGACCTATTCCTGAAGTTTGGGAGCTAAGCAGGAATGAAGGGTAACTGAAAATCTTGTTTTAATCAGGACATAAGATCAAATGGTTGTGGCAAATATCAATTCTGGCGTTGTTGAGTAGTAAAAGAAATGACAGTGTTGACCAAGGAAGTGCATTAATTTTGTTTCCTGTGGAACAAGATTAATCAACTTGATGCCTATGTTTCTATCTGTGAGATTCTTTGAGTGATGTATTACAAGCCCATTTCATACTTGTTAAATACTCTCGAAACAACTTTAACACGCATTTTCACATTCGAAGAGTTCGAGGTTGCATCAGGAGACCAGAGAGAACACTCTTATAAGTAAATAGAAATGTAAATCAGAAATGATAATTAGTATCAGGGTTCTAAAAGGCTCGCCATGGGGTGAGACACGTCTCTGAAGCCACGTTAAACCCCTGTAGCAGCTATGTAAAGCGAGGCGTGCGCCATGGTGTCTTGAGGCAGGTTATGGAGCGAGTGTTTTGGAAGGCATTATTTGACTTAATTTGGATTTTTAATTTTAATTTATTTCAAAATGGTTGTATAATTTTTGTATTTTACGTTGTTATGAGCTCTCTTTGTAAGGTCTCTATATGTATGATATCACTATAAGATTTTTCTTCTTTTAATATGAATTGAAATTGTTAAATATAATTGAGTAATAGTGAAAAACATATAATCATATATATATATATATATATATATAGAGAGAGAGAGAGAGAGAGAGGGAGGATCAAACGAGAACGATGCCTATTTAAAAGAACACGCAAACGGGCGAATCACATGTGATTTTACGCTAACATCACATACAAAATCACGTGATTTAGGTTAGGTGACCTTGTCCGGCGACCTGAAGACGCATCTACAAGTGGCCTGGACACTTTTTTTGACCATTAATGTACAATCACATGTGATTTTGCACGTGATTTGCCTGTTTTCGTGTTCTTTTAAATAGGTATTGTTCTTGTTTGATGGCCTCTATATATATGTACAAATACGATGGGTTGTATTTGAAACAAACTCTCTCTCTCTATCTCTCTCTCTCTCTCTATCTATATATATATATATATATATATATATATATAGATTTGCCGCTTTAACCTACGACTTGAAAAATGCTGTGGCTTCTAAGGCTTGTGTCTTGACCTGTTTGCAATACCATGCTTAATGCCATTTAGAACCTTGATTATTACCTTTAAGTAACATATGAACCTATGGCTAGTGGAAACCATGCACTTTTTTAGGAGTGGATGAATTTTGGTTATGAAATATAGTTAGTGCTTCAACTTATTTCTTGTTTTTATGTTGTTGCCGGGACTATATTGGTGTGTCGTGATGATGCATGATTCCCATCAGTTAACCACTAAGAAATAGCATCATTGAAATATATATGATTTTAATTGAATGTCTTGTCATTTTGCTTCTTGTGTGCTTGGTCATGCATGAGGAGTTGGCCATTCTATATATATATATATGTTGAACATCATATTTAGTTCCTGAGTTGTTTTTTGCCTCCAAAAAATAGGAAGTCTAAATGTATGCAACTCATGGACATGCACTTTTTAATTGAACTCTTGAATATGCTAGTTTGGCAATGTAATCATGTTTCATGCTTGTTGCAACATTATTACCCTTTCACTCGGTAATGTACTGATGAATGCATTATGCAACCAGAAGATGTTTCCATTTTCTTACACATCATGTCCAATCAGAAAGACCTCAGATTCATGTTTTCTTTGACCTATATTAATCTCACTTTACTCTAATGTTACAGAGGATACAGTATGCAAAGACAAAATCAGATGTCATAGCAAAAACAGATGGCACTTTCGTCCCTCGGGAAAAAAGAAAGAGGCACGAGGAGAAAGGTAGCACTTTTGTTTCTTTAACCTGTAGGGATCTTGTGAGGGTTTGAGTTTTTTTATATATCACTTTTTGGTTAAATATAATATGTTACTACACACACACACACACACATATATATATATATATATATTAAAATGCAGTGTGGTACAGCTTGTAATTCAAAACTGCAAAGCAAACCGCATAGTGTGGTTTGCCAAAAATACAAATCATAACCGCATGCAAAATTCTAAACTGCATGATGTGGTGCGGGTGGTTAGTGCAGTTTGATTAACACCCCCAGTTACAGCAGAGAGTAAATTCTCAACCTATTTACTACTTAGGCTTCTAATTGTTTTTCCACCTAGGAACTTATGTTTCTGAGTTTATGGTACATAAAATGCTTCTTCCATGTCTGCCTGGTTAAATTTTCATTCTGCTTCTGTAAACGTGAGGTTGATCTCTTTATGGTTATAATATCTGTCTTTCTTCTTACATTACCTTGAATTGCTTGTTGTCAAGCGATTGGTGGATTATAGCTTAAAAGTGAGCAGTAGTGCTGTTGATGCTTTCTTTGCATTCAATTATCTTTTTTTGGGGGGATGGGTGGGTGGATTAGCAACTGAGACCTGTACTTGATTGGTAGATTTTCTCTTTTCAGTCAATTGATTCCAAGATATCGTGCTTTATGTTCTTTAAGCTTATCGTAGATGCTACCTATGTGTAGAGTATACATGATCATGGCCTGTGGGTTATCACTTGCTTCCAAATGGTTTTGAGTTGGAACCTCATTTATCTAACATGGTATTGGAGCAAGTTTGTTTCACATTTACAAACCCAACCTCTCACTGGGTAGTATGTACGTGTAGGAAACTTTCCTCTGGTTGCGTTCGTGAACACTCCTGTTTGCATAATAGGAATCGGAGAGATGTGAGAGAAACATCAAAACTTGTCAAGAAGTTTCTTTTTGGAAGTTTCCAGGATTCTGAAGAGAAGCTGGAGAGCATGAGAAATTGGAAAATATTACTACTCCATGTCACCTGAATGAAATGTCTATTGTATGCCTTGAGGCAGCTATAGAGGAGAGGGGTGGGGGTGCATGATGAGACTAGTGATCCGACATCGGGATTATTTATCTTATGTGATAAACATGCATGATCATGGGTTACTCTACACCTTCCTGATTGTCTGTGTGTTGGAACCCCTTAGATCAAATACTAGTGTGTTATACTGATTATGAAACAAGTGAGTTTAGCATGAAGACAGAAGGACAGATATAAGTTAGAATATGGGAAATTTGCAAGGTTTTCCTAGCACTGCCTTCTATTATTTGTTTTAGCCATCCATTCTTTATGTTTTATCCTTACTGTCTTATTTTGGTCTTTTCTTATTCAACAGGAAGGAAACGCAAAGGGCAACATGATGCAAATCAAGCATCAACTGGTGCAAATGCTGCTTATGCGGGTGCATATGGTGCTACCCCTCAGGTAAGAATGCTTTGTTTTTAGTACATTCAAATATTCAATCAGATATTGTAGGACTTCTCTGTGGATCTAAGAGCATCTCAAACAGCTCCTCCAAAATTGAGAAAAAATAGATTTTGGAGTTTTTATGCTGGTTTATTTTGCTCCAACAGCTTCTCCAAAATGGAGAAAGTAGGAGAGAAAGGGAAAATTTCTACAAATAATGAGAATCCTCCAAAATTAAATGGAGAAAGAGAGAGAATTGCTTTTTTATTCTTTCCAAGAAAAAACTCCCCAGCCCACCAAAAAAAATGGAGAAGAGAGATTTTTTTTAGAAAAATATTCTCGAATATTTTGATGTTTCCCTCTATCCCAAATTATTTCTCAATAGAAATGACACACAATTATAGACATGCATAATTATTACACTTCTTAGTCGACCAAATGACAACTTTACCTTTAATTAGTTTATCTCTCTTTCACAACGCTTAAATATTTGTGCATTGATTAAGGTTAGATTTGAGAATTTAGTTATCCATTTTTGAAACCGGACACTTATTTTGGGAAAAACATAAATAGAAATGTGGACACTTACTCTAGGACGGAGGGAGTAATATAACTTATATTGGAATCTCCAAAATGGGAAAATGGTTGGAGTTGGAATATTTTCTTTTTGATGATTTTGACTTGTGTTTCTTCATTTTGGAGAAATTATGGAGAAGCTCTAATCTGCCAAAGCTGCATGGTTTGACTTTGAATTGATATAACCTTCCTTATATTGTTTCGTATATGTCTGATTGTTGAATGTATAACACATGGATTCTAGATATAAATGTCTGAAGTTCTTAACCAGCAGATAACAAAATGGTTAAACACCTGAAAATTGTAAGCCATTTGGGGCGGTTGGGTGGGGGTGCCATAGTTTTGTTGGGTGGTGGTGGGTGTGGGGAGCTGTGGTTGTTGGTTGGGTTGGGGTGATCTGAAATGGTGCAACTCAGGGAAAATCTTATAAACGGCTACCCCAGTGGAACTGACAAAAAACAGTTCTCTTTACGATTTTTAGGTTACAGTTCTGAGTTTGTGTTGACACAATATTTGATGCCATGATTATCAAAAGTCATATAGCTACCACACCGATTTCATTCTCCTGCTCTTGATACTTTTCTTCGATAAATATATGCCTTCTTTCGCCTTCTCTTTGTAACTGTACATTTCTAGTTTCTTTTCTGAATTGTAGAAAGACTGAAATTGGTAAGTCCTAGGCCATGTTTAGCGAACTAGTTGGTAGATAAGCTCGCCGTTAACCGATAAACTAGTCATGTTTGGTAAAAAACTAGTTGGTAAACTATATGACATGTTGAAAAATGATTGGAAAAAAGTCCTAGGAGCTTATTGAAAAATTGAAACGCTACTTGAAATACCTTTTCAAATAGGGCTTATTAAATAAGCCCAAAAATTAGCTAGCTTATGGTTGTTCAGGGGCGGAGACACTATGGTGCAAACGGTGGCATGGGCCACCGCTTCATTCCTCTATCGTAGTGTAAATTTTTTAGGGTCGTGAAAGAGGCTACCGTATTATTGTATTCGGTGCAACTGTATATTTTTTTCAATAGTGACACAGTTTCTCTTGGCCGAGTTGCTTTGCACGGTCTTTTCTACCCTTCCAAACGCTGGTTCGAATCTGATTTGTATCATTTCCTTAGTTTTTAGTTTCAAGTTTATTTATATTTCTGAACTTTTTTAAGATAAGAGACTTGAACATAGGACCTCACAGGCTCACATACAAAAAGCCTAACCAATAGACCAATAACGCTTTTGTTGAAAAATATCCATAGCTTCGTTTTTATAGTGAAATGGTGCCACCACTTGAAAAAAATTATAGGTCCGTCTCTGTGGTCCGCAAATATGGCCTTGTATGCCTCTCTCTAATTCTTTTCCGTTGGTGCAGTTATCACAAATACCGTATATGGGTGGTGCTAAATCCGCCATACCAGAGGCCCCGGCTCCACCAAACAACATCTTGTTCATCCAAAATCTTCCTCATCAGACTTCATCGATGATGCTTCAAATGCTATTTGGGCAGCACCAAGGGTTTAAAGAAGTAAGAATGGTTGAAGCTAAACCAGGTATTGCTTTTATCGAGTATGGTGACGAAATGCAGGCAACTGTAGCGATGCATAGTCTCCAAGGGTTCAAGATAAACCCCGATAGCCCTATGTTGATTACGTATGCCAAGAAATAGAATAGATGATGAGTACATCTGGGAATTTTTAGATTCTTGATTTGTTCTGCGATATCTTCTGTCGATTTGTATTGAAGTCGAGTCCATAACTTGAATCTGGACACGTGAACGACATAAATCCAGGACCATGATGCCGTTGTTGTTCACCCGGTTAATCTGTAGGTTGCATCTTTTCCTTGAAGTATATATAATATTTATATAGGGCAAATAGTCACGAACAATGTTTAAACCCTTAACCCTCTAGGAAGACTAGGCCAATGACCCTTTGGTCTGTAGGTTGCATCTTACTTATGAGTGTGAACTTGTCTTTTCACATAAAATCTCATCTTTTTTTAAGTATATTATATATATACGGCAAATAACTACACACTCCCTGTCATTGGTAACATTTGAGTCTGACCTCTAGAGAGGCTACGCTTTACTGGTAAAATTTTATTTTTTTTCAAAAGTATATAATATTTATATAAAACAAATAATCACACACGCTTCTTAACATCAGTGAGGCTTGAACCGATTGACCTAAAAAAGACTAGGATTTATTGGTAATCTGAATATGTGGAGGTTGGAGGGTGAAATTGTCTTTTCATGTAAAATCTTCCAAAGGCATATGTAAGCAAGATTGTCGAGTGGTACATTTAAGGAAATTGCAAGTGTCAAATGGAGAATCTGGTAACGTCGTGTAGCTGTCTATTGTTCACACACATACAAGTCAAACGCATGCATCAAGTTGGGTTGAATTTTTTTTGTTCTCAAAGGGTATTATTGGCAATTCGTACTCTTATTTATTTTTACAGATTTGCGCAAAGGCACCTCAACACGCTACCCCCACCCCCACCCTCATCAAATTTATAGTTACCTCATCACAACACTAAATATCTGATGCTAGTATTACTTCGTTCAGAATCTAATCGTAAAACGGTTGTCTCTGTGAAGATCTTTGACTTGTGAAAAGTGTGAAAAAAAAAACAAGAGTCGAGAATGATGAATATTTGAAAAACTGGTTCGATAGGAACAGATACATGAAAAATATAACTAATTTAATGTAGTTACACTCCTAATCTAACTTACTAATTCTCATCAGGTTATCATCTCAAATAATCACCTCATGAAAAACCATTTACTTTATAGTCACCTTACACTTTTTTCTTTATAAAACAGCAAAGAAACCGCAAGTCAACGCTGCAAGACACTTTTCATTGTGGATTCTAATAAAATATGATGCATCCACTGTAAAGAGCATTAAGAAAACGACAAGTTGCAGTATCGTAGTCACTTGCATCTACGCACAAAAAACAAGCCAAAGTTGCAAGCTGTGAAACCGCAAGAAAAAGAGCTTTTGCGGTTTCTTGACTATTTTGTGAGAAAATTCTGTCAGGAGGTTATAAAGTAATTTTTTTTTCCTGATGTGATTATTATGATGATAACCCGTCAACTCTAGCTACATTTCTCCACGCCACCCCCACTTTGTTAACTAAATCTTACGTCTTCATGAGCTCCTATCAGAGGTCATGTCTAAACCTTCACACTTTTCGCTCCTCGATCGTCACACTTTCTATCCTCCTTACTGAAGTCGCCATTTGTCTTTTACTAACACAACCAAACCACCGTAATTTGTCTCGTATGTTGGGACTCAACTAAAATCTATAAAAAGTTCTTTATGGATTAAATACAGGTTTATGTACTTTTCACTATTTCATACTACTTTTGACTGGGATATACTAAGGGGTTGTTTGTTTACCTCTTAATATTTTCATTAAGAGGCAACCTATGAACCATTAAGAGGTGAATTTTGTTTGACAAAAAAAGTTTGTCTCCTAATGGTTCTAAAACCCTCTGAATGATTTTGTTTCCTGCGCCTACCTTAACCATTCAACACCCTATTTTATTTGTAAACAATTACCAAACCATTATATATTCCATTTTGCACCATATCATGAGAGTCTCCTAATCATTCTAACCACTTAATAATTCTACACAAAACCATTCAACAATTGTCGAACATGTTTCGTTTTGCAACATGTAATCAAAGAGATTGTCAACAACACGCAAAACAAAGTAACATAACCCCATGGCTACAGAATGAGAGCATGTTTTCTGTCCCTATGAGATCATCATGATGCAACTCTTAAAACCTCCATAGACCAACTATATAAATGCACCAATACCCAAGAAGACAACCATAAAACTACACTTTGTGTTCATGTTCTATGTCTTATCATATCACATTATAATTCAGACGAGTGATATCTGCTACAGATTATACAATATTTTGGACGAGTGATATCTGTTGGAGATGCAGGGCACGTGCAACAAACTCAATTCCAGTGTTAGTTGCACATGCTCTTCCTCTCCAACGTAAATTAGTCGTCTCATCACGCTTCCTGTTACGTTTCACATGCATGGCAATGTCGTCTATGAGTATGCTTACTGATTGATATAATGTCGTTCAATATATGTTTAGTTGTTACTTTAACTTGTCTTTTGATGAATACAATGTTTTGATTTACACCCGTCAACTAAAATGGGGAAGCAAATCGTTTTAAGCATCGAACTTTTGGGGACTTGAAGATGAATATAACCTTTTGATTTTACACTGTGGTTTAATAATTAAAGTGTTTGACAACTGATCACGGGATATTCGCAAGAATAATCATACCTGAGGAGGACCCATCATAAAACAGCCAACTTTTTGCAAAGTAGCATAGACTGACGACCCGTTTACAAGTTTCTTTTTCTTGCAAAACCCTTTTTGTTGGCCAGTTACGTTTTGGCATAACAATATTAGGTTTGGGCAAAACCCCTTAAAGTTTTACTTAAAATGGGTTCACAATATTAGGTTTTGACAGAACAATTTTTCTTAGTGGGCCTATAAAACATAAAAACACTGAAAAGATTAGGGATTTTTCAATTTCTTTTTTGTTGAAACTAGTGACTATTTTGGGTCGGTTAGCAAAAACTTGGCTATTTTTATGACGTCTATCGTTTGCCTCTATGGTAGAATCAGACCGCGGGGGGGGGGGGATTTTTATTTTGCTAGGCCCATAGATAAAAAACCCAGCTGGAAACGGCTGCTAATACCCCGTAGGCTGAGGGGCCCTGACTCACCCTCCGTGGACGAACCTTGCGGAGGAACCCTTTACCTACCCACCTGTGTCGGTTTCGGGTACATGTACATGTACCCTTTTGTTTTTGTTTTCCCTAATCCTCCCTTAGCATTTAGGAATAGATGAACTCTATAAGCCTCGTTTTATTAACAAGATTTATCACTAAAATAAAATTTTCATTTTTCTTGCTCCTTGTTCTAACCGATATCAGTATTGATGTTTTTTTTATTTGAAATCGAAGCAATTGGATGTCCAATTCTTGCCTCTCGATTCTATGAGAATTTTTATGAAAACAAGAAGAAAACAAAGAAAAAAGAGGACCTGTTGAATTCCAAGTAATTTAATTTGTGACGATCATACACAGAAAGTTTGTACATCAATTAGTAGGTATGGGAGGATTAATGTCGGATCCCCAAGGGCAGACCGGATGACTCTATGAAAATAACGTTGATACTTGATAAATCGATCCGAGATTTTGTTGTTTTCGTTCTTATGATTTACAATTTTTGCTGTTTGTTTCTATGGTTCACAATTATTTTGCTATTTTCATCCCACATACTTAAAGATAGAAGCTAGTCTTAGTTTCAGGGACGAAAACAACATCGAATTGCAAACTCTATAAACGAAAATCATAATTTCAAAATCCTGAGGACAAGATTCGTAATTTTTAATAACCACAGGGATAAAAAACCGTAACTTAGGGGCCGTTTACCAAACACTTACCCGAGTAAGCGCTTAATAAGTCACGTTACCTCACGGATGAATATGATAAGGACTAAGAATCTTACCCAGTAAGAGCGAGACAAAGACCATGAGTCTTACCCGATAAGTGAGGGCGACGACTCTTACCATGGTAAGCACTTATCGGGTGAATTGTTGCATACAATGTCGTTTTCATGGATTAAAATCTTACCCGATAAATAAATAATAGTTTTAAATTTTACCGATAAGTACTTACCGGGTAAGTGTTTGATAATCGGCTCCATTCTCTGTCAAAAACGGGCTTCTAAAATTGGGCTGGACCCGGTTGGTTTCCAAACGGGCCACAAAAATACGAACGAGAGCCTGCATTTTCGAAATTCAGTTAACCGGCGATTTCGCGTCGATCATCTTCATCCTTCCGACAATTTTAGCAAACGATCGTCTCAATCTTCCTGTTGTTCTGATGTGAGTGTGTGAAATTGATGATTTGAGATGCTACACGAACTCCTACTGGCACTGTTAGGGTATACTGGAGACCTAATTATCGATGAGAGGGAATTCCGGCAAACCGTCGGCTTCTCACCGGAGGACTCCATGCCCAATCAATGTACCTTCAAAGTTGCTCCTGATATTTCTTTTATTCAACCCTCCGAAAGGTATTTCTCATCTTCTGTGAGCTGAAGGCTTTCACAGGATAGGATGTTACGAATCGAAGGGAAAAAAGAAAAGTTCTACAACAAGCCTGAATTGAACTATATCCTTCTGTAAACAAGGAGAACAATGTGACAATTTGCGCTTTTGTAGGCTGTTGTTAATTTCTGGGAGAGGCTAAGTAATGGTTAAGAGTTTATCAAGTGATGGTGATATCTAATGATAACAGAGAAGAACGTATTTATCACTGATTGAATTTAAAATTGGAGCTATTTTACCTGCTTGTATTCAGTTTTGGAAATTTGTAATGGTCTGAAATATGGCCTTTAGAACTAAGCCGGCAATAGTTTGTAGCTTTATATGAAAGTCATAGTATTTTCATTGTTTTCATTGTTATAATGCATGGTGTTGCTAATGAGATGCAGGGATATCATTGAGAATATAATTACATTGGGGTTTTACTACCGTGAACTTGATCGATTTGCCACAAAGTCCCGGAATCTAAGCTGGATAAAGTCTGGGAATGAGTCTTCTGTGTCACGTGCTTCTGAGATATTGAAAGAGACAAGGGACAATCAGAGTGTTTATAGGAGGGCTATTGCAAATGGCGTAGTGGAAATTCTTTCTGTTTACCGATCTGCCGTTTTGCATATTGAACAGAAGTTGCTGTCGGATTCTTTACCCATTTTGGCTACAGTTACTCAAGGCCTGAATAAGGTGGAATTTGAATTTTCTTGTATTGTAGTTTAATAATTTTGGTTTCTTCTTATGTCTTTAGGCTTCTAAGTATAGAGGTTGGATTGTTCGAGTCCCACGGAACTTTCTGGCAGACTTGGCTTCTGCAGTATATGTTGATTGCATATAGTCTTCGGTAGCACTTTTATGTTCTTTGAGCTCTCATTGGTGGATGGTTATTGTAGTTTCTTGTTTTCTTGCCTCCTCTTTATGAGCTAATTATTGAGATTGAGCGCGATGGTATCCATGGAGGGAAACTTCTTAATCTTCTGTATAAACGATGCCATTGTGGGGTGCCAGAGCAGCAGGCATGTGTTCAGCGGTATGATATTCTTCTGGCATCTAGTTTTTTATCGTCATCCCTTAACTTTTTTTCGTTTGCGTTTCTGTTATAGTTAGCAAAAGTACGTATAAGAACTGGAGAGTAAATAGGATAAGTGAAGAAGAATTAATTGTTGACCGCATGAAAGATATATAAACAAATTGTACTTCTGGGTTACTTGACGACCTCAAAATGTTTCTTAGTCAGAACAGACCCTTTCTGTAAATGGAGGAAACTTCCAGATGGAATCATCTGAAGAAGAGAGAGATCTCAGAAGAAAGAGAAACTTATATTAAATCCTCAGAATGCAACTATTCCAACTTTCCTGTAGTCCAGTAGTAGATATGAAAAGATCAATACCAATCTTAGCCCTAAACTGCATAGGTCTTAGACAATGAGTCCGAAAGGCTGTAAAATATAAAATGCAAATATTGCAAATGGAACAGAGGCAATTTACATATCTTTTCCGACATGAGTGAAGTCCCTGCACTGGGAAGCCGAACTGTATAACTTTGGAAGTCACATATAATGCCATAAGATGGTATAAGACCAAGGTCTCGTAATTTTATTTTATGTTATTTTAAGGACATATTTATTCTTGATTTTCATACAGAATGTCATTTAATGACTACCAATAGAAATATCATCCATCAAATTTGTTGTCCCGTTACTGTGATTCTTATTGCTATGCATATGCTAAAAATTTCAAGAGCAAGGAAATGTTAATGTACTTGCAAATTAATGTAAACCAACTTTTTTTTCTTTTCATTGTGAATATAGACTTCTTTGGCATGGACATCAGGTCATGTACAATCAACTTGCATGTTGGATGTTATATGGGATTCTTCATGACCAATACGGAGAATTTTTCATCAGCAGGTAACTAGTTGTCTTCTGTAGTTGTCTCACATTGATCTGGAGAGATGTGATACAGATGACAGCTGTCTGAAAGAGGATGTTGGTTAATGCTTTTAGGCAGCAAGAAGGAAAGTCTGAGAATGAAATGACTCACATTGACAATATTCAAAAGATGGCACAAATGTCTGTTAGTGATGGATCTTTAAATGATTGGTACATGGGATTCAATATATCCTTGGTATGCAATAGTTTGTATCTAATATCTATTTATATTATCTTCAAGATATACCGTTTTATTGATACTATACTAGAAGTTCTAATTTGCTGAAATACATGAATGTTAAAACTGATTTTTAGTTTTGTTCATTTATATCAAACTTCAAGTGATTTCTACACTTGGCAAACTTCTTGATTTCCAACATCTTCTTGCAGGATATGTTACCAGAATACATTCCGGTGCAGGTGGCAGAATCCATTCTTTTTGCTGGAAAAGCAATCAGGGTTCTTCGAAATCCAAGTTCTGCCTTCCGATCTGTGGATGTGTTATCTCATCAGGCAACTGGGCCACAAACATTAAAAGAATCTCTGAGGAATGAACCCTCATCAAATACAAAGTTGACAGGTGATGAATTATTGCCACAATCAGAGGCTGATAAGATTGAATCAATGCTTAAAAATCTGCAGGTCTTTATCCTTTTGACAATATCATCAATTCTTGTTATTGCTAAGCATAGTTGTATACTTATATTTTTCAGCTTATATATTGCTAAGCATAGTTGTATGCTTTTATGGACCTTTTCTCCGTCTGAAATTTTAGATTCTCTTTTTACAGGAATCATCTGAGTTCCACAAAAGATTATTTGAAGAGGCCATTGGTTCAATCAGATCTATTGCAGCCAATCATCTTTGGCAGGTAGAGATGTGGCATGCTTTTATCTGTCTTTGTAGTTCCACTTCAGTCATTAAGTATCTAACTTTTTTCATCCATACTTGTAGCTTGTAGTTGTCCGCGCTGATCTAAATGGGCATTTGAAAGCTATCAAAGATTATTTTCTTCTAGCAAAAGGTGATTTCTTTCAGGTAATTGATTGCTACTTCATTAGTGTTCCTTTTCTTCAGTATGTTGTGTTTTTTATAGTTTCTTTTTGGTGCTTCCTTGGAACGTGAGTCGTCCTTCAAATCAGAAACCAAGTACATAGACTGGCTAAAATTGTTCTTCGCAAATTGATTCAGCCAATATCATCAGATAATTGTTAGGTTACGTCTGCATATAGATTTTGTTGAATATGCAGATTACCCTTTTACGAATACCAGGTAACCAGGGCAATGCCAAAAGACTTAAACATTGAGTAAGGACACCCTGAATATGCTGCTGGCTTGGTAACTTTGAGGTGTTGTCATAACAGGAATTTTCGAATTCATAACCGTTCAACAAAACTGAAATCTACCATTTATTCTTGTCCATATATGACGAGCATGTTGGTTACTGAGGCTGTTCTTTCATTAAAGTATTTGCTTGAAATTTCCTTCCACGTATAAGTAGCTGCATCTTAACATGTTAATTTATTTAGAACTCATTTGATGATTGACATCAGAAGCCCAGTATGTTGCAACTCTCTCTATACCATGTTTCTGTTAACGGTATACTTATGAAGTTCATTCAAACCGCTCTTATGACTATGTTCTTTATTTTTGCCTTGTTTTTTTTCTATAGCACAATAAAACATACAGCAGTTATAATGGTGCCATTTTTCTTAAATAAATGGAGTAATTTAGCCTTGGTTTTTACTTCACGTTTCCACCTCATGTGCATTCATTTTGTGGCACACAAGCCTGCCATGGAAAATTACGTATACCCTTTTGGTTTCTCATCAATGCTTTTTATGCTTTTATGTAAACTTAATGAAACTTCAATTGTATGCCAGAGCTTTCTTGAGGGAAGTCGTCAGTTGATGCGGTTACCGCCTCGGCAGTCAACTGCTGAAGCAGATCTTATGGTTCCGTTTCAGATGGTAATTTAGTTCTGTGTATCTATTATCCGGCAATTGTTTTAGTTGTAAGTGATGTCTTCTCTTCGGGATGAGGGTTGTTACTGAGATTTGTATATGGTTTTTATCAAGATCAGATATTCTCCACTTCATTTGGACCATAAGCAGATTTAAAGAGAAATATGTTTGCATACTTCTAATGCAGGCCATAACGAAGACTATCAGTGATGAAGATAAATATTTTTCAAGAGTGTCATTGCGGTGAAATACTATGCAGTCAAATAGTTACATTTGTTTTATCAGACAAATAGTTATATTAATAACTACTTCCTGCTTTTAGGGTCAACATTAGGTCTTCCCAAGTAGATGTTCGGGAGCCAACAACTTTTGCCAATGGAGGTCCCAGTGCCATATCTGATACTTCATCAGAGATGTCCCTAGATGCCTGGGATGGTATTGCCCTAGAATATTCTGTTGATTGGCCCTTGCAGTTGTTCTTTACACAAGAGGTGCTCACAAGGTATCGTTGATTTTACTAATTACACATTCCTAGTTTTTGCTAGCTGCCAAGGTTGTACCATTATAATAGGAACTCCCAGTTTTGTGGCAAATGCTACCCTTTTTTGTCATTTCTTCGCATGTACCCACAGTAGCATTCAAGTAATATCCTTTGATTTCATTTGTTTCTTGTGCTTTATAAATAGCTCCAGCACACCTCCTTCTCCATCCTTTTTTCAGAAATCCCATAACTTGGGCCCTGTTTTAGAACATTTAGGCTATGTGTGGCAAAATAGCTGATAAGTTGGCTGTTGGCACATGTTAAAAAGTTAGCTGTCTGCACATGTTAAAATGACCTAAAAACACATGTTAAAAAGTTAATTACGAAAATATAAGGGGAAAAATTGGAAAAAGAGTGCCAAAAAACCCCTGGAGCTTATTGAAATGCTACTTGAAGTATCAAAAAGCTAGCTTATATCTAACCAAGGGGGGAGGGTTCATTAAGCTTAAAAAATAAGCTAGCTTATGTTGCCAAAGATGGCCTTAAAGTTGTCCTTTTTAACGCATTTATTTAAAGGGGCAGACTTCTGCTGTTCATGGTTTCTGGACTTGTGTGTTTATGAGTCAGCATGCTCCAGGTACACCAGGATCTTTCAGTATTTACTCCGGTTGAAGCGAACCCAAGTGGAATTGGAAAAGTCATGGGAATATGTAATGTATCAAGATCACTCAGATTTTGCTAAACGTCGTAGTGACCCTAAAGATGGCAAAACATCTCAACAAAGACGGCAACGCTTTAGACCAATGTTGAGGGTTAGAGAGCAGATGGCGTTCTTGATACGGAATCTTCAGTTCTATATACAGGTAGGATTATGTGCGAACTCTGAGTTCCATGAAGTATTGTGATGATTTTACATTTTAGTATCTGTTATCAAGTGTTTTGCAGCCATTCATATTTACTTGTCTTGTTATCAGGTGGATGTGATAGAATCTCAGTGGAACAGATTGCTGGCTCGTATAAAGGAATCGCGGGATTTCACTGATTTGGTGGGATTCCATCAAGCGTGAGTTAAAGATACACGTTTTATTGCATCATGCTTTTTAAGGTCTAATTGTTATTACATACATGTGTTTTTTTTTCTGCTAAAATTTTGCTGTATGTGATGTAGATACTTGTCGGCTTTGATATCACAATCTTTCTTGGATATTGGCTCAGTCTCAAGAATATTGGATGGAATCATGAAGCTGTGCTTGCAATTCTGCTGGAAGATTGAGAGCCAAGAAACTGATGTAAGCATCGAAGAATTGGAGCGTATAACTGAGGTGATTTGAATTGCTATTCTGCTTTTTTTCTTTCGACAATTTGAATAAAATGCGACTAGTGAGCTCTTTATAACCAATAACTTCCACGTTGGTCTTATGTTGATTTGGAGGTTATCGGGCTAGCGAAAAACCCCGACTTAAGTATATAATATTTATATACGGCAAATAGAACAAATAAACTCACACACCCTCCTCACCTTTGGTGAGGTTTGAACCCTTGACTTCCTAGAAGGCCAAGGACTCACATACCGCTAGACCAAAGGCCCTTTGGTGACTTGCGAAGAAGTTGTTGGGAGTTATGAGCTAAACTGGGAAGTTTGTGAATTCTTTAATTTTTTTTGGTTTTATGGACTTCAAAAGAAACTAGAGTGCATGAAACATAGGAAAGTAGGCTGCAAATCATATAGAAACCGTTAAAAGTTAGAAACCATGAAAACCGGTTTCATATATGAAACAACACTGTGAAACCAAACCCATGAAAATCAACAAAAAATCATTCAGTGTGTTTGATTTTAAGCTATGATTTATATTGTTTAACAGGTTTTGTTCTTGTGTGTGAGTATGAGTGTATGTTTCAGGTATAAACATATTTTTGTGTTTTTTCCCACGCAAAACGTTCATTGATGTTTCATCTATGAAACAGCGCTGTATGAACATTGCATGTTCACATGTGTCATTTCATCTACGAAACAATACATACAAACTGGTTTTTATGGTTTCTTACTTTTAGACTATTTTTATATGATTTCCCCCTAGGTTAGTATTTGAAGAACAAGACTTTGTGCGAACAGGCAAAAACAGTAAACAGTAGTTGTACCGGTCAACAATAGCACATCAATTGATCTGCTTTTTGGAAGTGTGTACATGTATATACGGCAAAAGGCAAAACTCACAAATTCTTTCACCTCAAGGGAGGTTAGGAACTACCAGTAACCCGAGTACCACGACCCTTTGGTCAAACTGATATTCTTTGTGAATGACAGTTGCATTTCCACAATTCCACTTTAGTTGTTTGGTATGTTTTTTATATCTACAGGAATTTAGCAGCAAATCAAATTCCCTGTACACCATATTGCGTAGCAGCAGGCTTTCCGGCAGTCAACGAGCCCCGTTCCTTAGGCAGTTCCTTTTGCGTCTAAACTTTAATTCCTACTATGAGGTAATAATAACCTTTAGGTTTTCTGTACGATATTTTCAGGGTTATGATAAATGCACCATGTTATACTAATTTCTTCCTCACACCTATCAACATCAAACCCCTCTTTTAGGAAATGCATGATTTGACCTGATTTTGACATAAAAGATGTGAGTACCGCTATTTGCATCCTTTTATGTCAGAATCAAGATAATTTATGTATTGGGAATGTACAATGTAGATCTTGATGTTGATGTGCGTGAGGAGGAAATTTATAGGTATGGGTGTATTTAGTAATATATGGGGGGTTGGGTTCCGGTGAGAAGAAGAGTTAAGATGAGAAACGTAAGGAGGGATTTTCACCCTTAGATGCATATTAGGATGAGATGCACCGGATCACTTCCCGCATCAAACGCAATTCATGGGTGGGTTTGAGATTAAAGATGATCAACGGTCCAGATCCCTTCTTACGCTTTTCACTTTAACTCTCTTTCTCACATGATCCTTTACCTATGTAAGGGTGCATTTAGCCTACCCCAAAAGGGGTGCATGTAACAACTTCTATTTTTATTAAAGATTCCGTCAACCAATAGTTTTGTTCTTTTTTTTGTATTTGATTTCAACAGGCAAATGCCCAAGGTGGTATGAATGTCATCAAACCACAACCAACAGTCCCGGCCTTCCTACGCTTGCAGCTCTAAATCTCGCTGATCCACTCGGTTAGTTGCTTTCTTCTTTTCCATATTCGAGTTTGGGTACCAAGTTGTCCATGTGATACCCTAGCTGTTAAGGTCTCTTCTTTCTGTGTGCAAACTTAGACAATCAATCCTCCAAAGCTTAATAAAAAAATGGGAACTTTGTTACTCAAATGTGAACTAAAAAGCGATAATTGATTGACAAGTGCATTGCTGGTATAATCCTACAGAACCAAACAGTGGCTAGAAAACAACTAACAGTTTGCTAACCAAATGACTGGTTCCTGATAAAAATAAAAGTGCCTCCTACTCCTAGAAAACTATTTACAAAAGAGAGGACCCCATGAGAAAAAAAACCATTAAGAATATTACTATAAAATCGATTAGAAACACAAATAGGAGATAAATATATGATATTTAACCCAAAAAACACAAGTCATCACAAATATATATATATATATATATATATATATTTACACACATATATAGAGGTGGAGATTTAAACGAGACCTCTAGTTTGCGAATATGTAAAAACATCATTACTATGTGTGATAATACATGTGTTGTGCACACGACTTGGCATGCGACCTACATCGTGCCAAAGGTCGCATGCGTCTCTGATTTAGTATCTCACATATGATGGATTTTATTATCATATCAAGAATACCCTTCTCACAGGTTATGCACATGAGGGAGTCTATCGGTGTGCGGACGACTTGGCCTGCAACCTAGGTTACATCAAAGGTCGTTTGTGTCTCTGATTTAGTATCACACGGGATGGAATATAGTAATACATGTGATTGACTAAAATAAAAAATGTTCTTGTGTTTTCATAAAATAAAGGTGTTCTCATTTGAACATTTCCACAAACACACCCACCCACCCACACCCCCCCTCCCCACACACACACACACACACACACACACATATATATATATATATATATATATAGTGGAGGGTTCAAATAAGAAGCCTAATTATTATGAGAAAGTAAGAAACGAAAGTTTAAGGAAAAGTTTACATGTGACTCATTGAAAAAATCAATTCGTATATGCATATGTGAATCCATATGAATAATTTGTCACGTCGATTCACGCATGTATTTTTAAATAGATTTTTCAGAGGATTTTCAATCATTAACATACGAGTCTTTCTTTATACTTTCTCACGATATCTATCCTTTATATTTAAACCGAACGCTATATCCCTAAAGAGTAAGAATTAGCAGTAACCATCATAACTACAGTTTTTTCAAAAAAGAAGGAAGACCGATATAATTTGTCTTCTATTTCATGTATTATAATTTATAATTCATTGTTTCAGTATTTATTTAATTGATGAAATAAAATATAATAATAGGAGTAGGAGCATTCCAGCCAGGATCTTCTGACTCGCATAAGTCCTGTTGCATTTATACCTGGGGTAGGGGCGACAACTGGAAGAAGGGGGCTGCCCCACTTTTATTTTTTATTTTTTCATGATTTAATAGAATAAAATTAGGAAAACTAGAGAAAATTTTAAATTTGAAAAATTCTTTTAAAATTTGATATATGAGATCGAATCATCATTATTATATATATTTTTTAAAAATGTATTAGAATGATAATTATATATAATATTTTAAAAATATAATTAATGTTGAAATCTCTAAAATAAAAAATGTATTGGAGTTAAATTTAATTTTTTTTTAAAGATTTTGTCTTTTGATTCTTTATTATGTATACTATATTATAAAATATTTGACGAAAACTCTTAAAAACCATTATTTATGTATGAAGTACTGTTTATTAATGCATATTACTTAAAATTTTAGATTACAAGTAAATTGTGTTTGAGTACAACTTATTAAAGCTTCATTTTTAAATTCGTATGACTAACTATAGATAAATATAATTAAATATAGGATAAACATCTCATTTTAAATAAAAAAAATCTAAAATATAATTAGGATAATAATTGAATTTTAACAGAATCATTATCTTTATAAAAATTATATTGTTAAGTCAAAAATAAATTACCTCGTTACTAAACCTAAATTAAATTATAATAAAATTGAATTAAAGAAATAGTACAAAAAAAAGCTTTTAAATGATTAATTTGGCATTAATATCCATGTAATTTTTCAAATTTTATGATATCTTCAAATTTATTTTTATTCAAAAGTAAAAATATTGTCTTTCTTAAAACCACATAAGTTGTATTATATTAATAGAGACAAAAAATAAAAACGAAACATTAAAATGAATATGTATCTCGTTGCATTGCACGAGAACCCTTTTTAGTAAATAAATTATATAGATTCTATTGGAGATGCTCTTACATACTAATATATTTTCAGATACATTAGCATCAAAAATATATTTCTATATTTTTGATATACAATGTATCTGATTTTAATATTTGTAGGTATACATATAACAACACCTTCTAACGTTTGTCATAAAAAACCATCATTGTAAATATAATTTATATTGTCATTGTTGATTAAAAAGAGTCAACAAGTCAAACATCTTAATTCTCATGAAGTATTGGGTTATGATTATCCTATCGATTGTCGTAATTTTCTTATGTTCCTATTATTGTATATCGATAATTTTGACCTTAATTTATTAATATTTATTTCATAACTCTATTTAATTATTTGTACCAATATTCTAACTTTTCAATGCATGTTTGGTTTTGATTATTATGTACATGTGTGATGTATCTTTATTTTATTTTATGAATTCATGTAATTTTAAAAGAATAAAATAGTCTTGGTAATATGCAACGTATACTGATTGATTATTTTATATAGTTCACAACATATTATAATTTATATTTATATAATAATAAGTTTTAAATGTTATATAACTTAATATATCCTTTTTATTGCACATAGATCGACCGTTGACCGAGTATTGTTGAGAGATTAGATGCCATCCTATTCCTATTCCTTTTCCTATTCACCAACCACCAAATAGATGAAAAGGGTCACAAAAAGTTAGGTGGAGTGGAGGAGACCATGTTGTACAATTAACTTCCACAAATTACCACAATCTCCTTACCCTTTTATCTAAAAAATATAGTAATTTTTTTGTTAAATTATATCAATCATATCAGATATTTTCTACTTTGTTCACATATATGATTCGTGGTATTAAAAAGTGTCTAATGAATGAGATATATAGTCTCTTATAAGGCAACCTTAGTTCTCATCTGCAAATTGATATAGGATCTTACAATGCACCTTCCTTAGGATCCCAGGATCCTCGTTGGTGTACCAGCCTGGTTCCAAACTTTGATACCATCTGTAATAACTTAGACCAACAATATCGGATATTGTTCGTTTTATCTACACATATACTTACAGTTTGATATGATTGACTTGGGATTTTAACAATTATATATATATATATATATATATAAACATTTATAAATATTGATATCTAATTTTCTATTTTTGTTTTATTAAATATTTTCTAAGTTACTTCTTTTGTCATCTACTTAAATTTTGATGGATAATTTAATAATCTAAATTTTGTTTTTCTATCATTAGATAATTTTATATTTGTTTTAAAAAAATAAAAATAGAAGACAAATAAAAGGAGGTGAATTCATATAGTATATATTTTTTAATAAGATTAAACTAAATCAATAATATTTTAACTTTATAATCATTAAAAAAGTCATGAATTTAATTAAAATCTCGTTTAAAATCATATATTTTAATATATCATTTATAAAACACGAATTTATAAAACAAGAAAGAGTGTATAGCACCTTTTTGATGTATATGAAACTATTTTTTTCTACCATCTTCAATGAGAGAGGTATATATGCAAAAATTATATCTTTTTATCTTCAATGACATTTTATTAGTTTTTTATATTTTTTTTGACATTTATATCCTGTATAATTAAAAATTAATGATAATGTGAGAAGTTAAACATTTTACGATAATACGAAAAATTTCAATATCATATATGTATTATCGACACAACATGTGTTCAATCACACATAATTAAACTTATATATATATAATACGTATAATCATATATAATATTAAAACTTCTCGTTTTTTCATAAAAAATTTTGACTTCTTGTGTGAACATATTCCTAATAATTCGTAAGAATATTCAAAATATTATATTAAATTTAAGTAAAATATTATATAAAATAAGCCATGTAAAAGGTCACTGGACAACTACATAACCCCCACCTACCACCCCCTCCCTACCAACCACGCTAAAACCATATCACCCTTGAAACACAAAAGACCACCATAGAAGCCGCCTTCATTTCAAACCCATCATCTTCAACCTCCCCACCACCAACCCTTTTCCAGTCACCGGAAAAAATGGATCCTAAACCTCAAGATTCTCAAAACTCCGAGGGGAAACCACCGTCCGACCACCAATCTCACCTCCCCATTGTTCCTTTTACATCCATCACCCTTTCTTTCCCTCAGCTCCTTCCTACCCACTTCATTTCTTCACCAAAAATCTCACCTTTTTCTCCCAAAATCCCTACAACTATCAAAATCCCATCTCAAATCTCCTCCCTTTTCAACCTTTCTCTTTCCTCCACCACCACCCTTCCCACCAAATCCCTATTGAAATCCACCGTCTCTGCCAACCCTCTTCAAAACCCATTACCCCTAAACCCTCGCCGCCCCTCTGACCCATCCAACCCCGCCGGTCTCCGCCGTGCATCCGTTGTCTGGTTCCGTAACGATCTTCGTGTTCAAGATAATGAATCTTTAACTTCTGCCAATAATGAGTCCATGTCTGTTTTACCACTTTACTGTTTTGATCCAACAGATTTTGGGAAGTCCTCATCTGGGTTCGATAAAACAGGCCCCCATCGAGCATCTTTTTTGATCGAATCGGTTTCGGATTTGAGAAAGAATCTTCAGGCAAGAGGGTCTGATCTTATAGTTCGAATTGGAAAACCAGAAACCATTTTAGCTGAATTGGTTAAAGAAGTTGGGGCAGAGGCTGTTTATGCTCATAGAGAAGTGTCTAATGATGAAGTTAAAGGTGAAGAAAAGATTGAAATGGGATTGAAAGATGAAGGTGTGGAGATTAAGTACTTTTGGGGAAGTACATTGTATCATATTGAAGATCTGCCATTTAAATTGGAAGAAATGCCAACAAATTATGGTGGATTTAGGGAGAAAGTTAAGGGTTTAAAGGTGAGGAAGACAATTGAAGCTCTTGCTCAATTAAAGGGATTGCCATCTGGTGGTGATATTGAGCCTGGTGAGATTCCATCTCTGGTTGATTTGGGTCTCAATCCTTCTGCTGCTATGAGTCAGGTACAAATTTTGATGTTCATACTCTGATGAATTTGGATTCTTGTTAACACATTTTGTTGAGATTGTGTTAGAAACCAATCTTTTTGTTTAGTATTTGGATAATTGTGTTTGATTGTATGATCTTGCTGCATTTTGGTGTGTTCTTTGATGGTCTTTATGGAGAAAAGGGACGATCTTTTGTTCATATGATGGTGGGTTTTGAAGTTCTCGAGTTATAAAAGGTCATCGTTTCATTGAACTGCAAACCCCCTTTGGGTTGGAAACATGAATTACACCCGATTATTGGTCAAGGCAACTTCATTCCCTAAGATATTCTAACATGGTATTAGAGTCGACGTCTAGCATTCTAGGCACTCGACACTCTAGGTGTAACAACTCGTCCCACATAGATAGAAAATGAGATCTGTGAGCTCCTTTATAAGCCTCAAGTTGTGGGCTACCAATAACTTCCACCATGGTTTTAAGTTGGATTTGAAGTTATTGGGCCAGCCTATTGCTTTGCGCTTTGGGGTGTTACACTAGGATAATATGTACTCGTCTAGCCCCCTCTCGACACTCTTGGACAATTTTGTACCCGTCTAGCTTTCGTTTGAGGGTGCTTGTTAGAGTCCCACATTGACTAGACTTGGACTTATTCTTCTCAATATATGTTGGAACCTCTTTCTCTCCTGAAGGGCCCTTTTGGAGGAAGGTTCCACACATTCCAACAACATGCCATTGTTGGCCAACTCTACCTTTTTCTAACAACTTCCTCGTCCCCTCGCCATAAATCTCCCAACCCTCAACCAAATTACGTTTTGCCGCTTTAGCTTTTGAGATGGAGGTCAGGTTTGGATACATCCCAACCCCCCAGGTGCTGCTTTCGAGTGGGACATACTGAGTTTTGTGGTTTGGTTTGTATGACGGAACCATCTTTACGAAATCACCTAGATACTGGTCTTAAGTGTACACATTTGAGTTTTCATCCTCAAACATAGTACCTCCCAAATTCATGTTGAATATGTTTTATTCTGAATGCATTTAACACCATTTTTTTTGTATTTGCTGTACTTCATGGATGGTTTAATGTAGAAAGCAGTTTGCTTCACACCAATATTTCCCCAAAATGGTGGATGCTTTTAGCTCTTCGTAGTAGTGAAGTTATGATTCTTGTTGGCCATGGTAGTAGCTAGCTTTTTGAAACACTCCTTCAAGTAGCTTTTCAATAAGGGTCTTTTTTTCTGATTAATGTTCTTAATAGGTCATTTTATATCTGTCATCTAGCTTATGAGTCAGTTTTTACCAAACATGACTAGTTTATTAGCTAGCTTATCGGCTAACAACTAGCTTATTAGCTAGTTTGCGAAACATAGTGTTAGGGGTGGTTTGGTTGGTTTTTCACTAAGTCGTGTATGGATAAAGGTTGTGTGAATTAATCTGTTTGTACGGGTTGTGAGGGTTTTTGTTTGGAAGGGTTTTTTCATAGATGGAAGGAGTGTGTTTTTTAGCTAGGAGGGGGAGGTTTGGGAAAACTTTGCTTATTGCATAAACCTCCCCCTAGAATCTTAATGAATAAGCCACTTTCTATATCATTGAGCCACTATCAAAGTATAGCTGACCGAATAAGCTGCGAGTCTCATCAAGCTCATTTAGTTATTAACAAACATACCCTTAGTAAGATTAGGTGTCTTGATTTAGTGGTTGTTTGTTTACCTCTTAATAGTTTCATTAAGAAGCAACTTCTGAATCGGTGAATCTTGTTTGGCAAAAAAAAAGTCGGTCTCTTAATTGTTCTAAAACCCTCTGAATGATTTTGTATCCTGTATCTCTCTTAACCATTAAGAGCCCTAATTTCATTGTACACAATTACCAAACAATTATATTTCATTTTGCACTATATCATGAGAGCCTCTTAATCAATTTGACCACTTAATCATTATGTACCAAATCATTCAGCAATTGCCAAACAGCCCCTTAGAAGATGATGGGGCTAAAAATCGTAGATTTTGATGATATCATTTACTTTTGCGTAGGCTAAACCGGTTTCTAATGGTCCCCTTGTTGGAGGTGAGACCGAAGCACTACAAAGGCTTAAAAGGTTTGCTGCCGAATGCCAAGCCCAACCGCCCAAAGAAACCAAAGATGGAAATAACGATAGCATTTATGGCGCAAATTTCTCGTGCAAAATCTCTCCGTGGCTTGCAATGGGATGTCTTTCTCCTCGTTCCATGTTTGACGAGTTGAAGAAATCTGCTTCTAGGTATGCCCAAATATTCTTTTTCTTTTCATGAGATTGCTTTATTTAGGGCCGTTTACCTGATCCTTACCTGGTAAGCGCTTACGGTAAGAGTCAACACTTTCACTTAACTTGCCTGGTAAGATTTTAGTCTATTAAAACGGCATTGTATGCAACATTTTTATCCTCTAAACGTTTAGTAGGTAAGAGTCGTTACTCTCACTTACTAAATAAGACTCTCGGTCCTTGTCATCACTCTTACCGGGTAAGATTCTTGATCCATGTCATATTCATCCGATAAGGTAAAGTGACCCGGTAAGCACTTACCAAGTAAGCATTTAACCCCTTAGTATGTCTTATTTAATGTAACAAATAATTTTCTTTTTACCCAATCAATGTAACTTTCAATTTTTCTTATTTTGAGATACCTATTTTGATTGATAACCTAAACATTTTGTGACGTGGATGATAAACTTGATATCTACGTCATCAGATGTTACAAGATCAACAAGTTACCGGTCAAAATGGGCAAAAAAAATGAAAAATAAAGATATTTAGGTATATAACCTCTAATGAGATTTTAATTAAATCCATGGCGTTCTGACGAGCATGAAACCACTTTCTTTTAATCGGTTAGGAGGTCATGGATTTAATTAAAATCTCATTTAAGGTCGTATACCTAAATGACCCGTAAAAATTAGGAAATTTTGAAACCTCGTTACATTGATGGAGTAAAAAAATTATTTGTTACACTAAACTACGACAAGCGTCATTGCATTTTGATGTATTTTGCGGTGTTGTTTACGACGATTTGCATTCCATTGGTATTAACCAAAAGAGTAAAATATAGAACGGTTTCCGCCGGAAAAGACGGTGATGGTGGGATGAACTGGTTGATGTATGAGCTCCTATGGAGAGATTTCTTCAGGCAAGTGCATGAACTCGATTCATTTGTGTTAATTACTCGTTATTTTATCGACTTTTTTGTACTAAACGAATCGGTGTCTGAATTGCAGATTCATCACGAGGAAATACAGTTCGTCGAAACAACGTAATATTGCTCCGGTTACGGCTTGTACGGCTTGAGAACGGCGGATGTCGATTGCTGGTCTCGAATTCTTTGGTCATCCATCTCCAAAAAAATGGCTTATTTGATTAAAAATAAAGTCTTAATGCTTTTATGTGTCTTTGCTTCTTGGAGAGTAATTTTTTTTTCTTGTAAAATTTTTTGTTTCCTGAAATTTGGAGTCTGAACACAAATATTGATATTGAATGACCATTCTGAATGTTGTGTCTCATCATACATTCTAAAGCTGTGTGTTTTCGAAACCTTTTTTTATGAACGAAAAAGGGAAAATATGTGTTCTCGAAACTTTTAGAGAACACGATATATATATATATATATATATATATACACACACACACATATATAGGGTTGGGTTCACGTGAGACCAAGAGTTTTTCGTGAGACCCGTGAGACTAATTTATGTTCATCGATCAACTTTATAAACTAAAGATCTAATGGTCTAAAGTCAAGGCCGGCCCTGGCCACGTGCAGCCTGTGCGGCCGCACAGGGCATCAAAGCCAAAGGGGCATCAATTTGTCATTTATTACTATTTTTAGGTATAATAATTTGGAATTGGACAGTTGAGCTTTAACTATAAAAACAAGGGCATGGCCTAATAGTGATGAATACTTAATGCACATCGTTGGAAAAAGTTGGAAAGTTGGAAAATTTCTTGTTTGTATAAAGTTGTCTGTATGAAGTAATATGTTTATATAAGTTGGAAAAGTTTTTGCTTATGAGAGTTTTTCTGCATATGTAATAAGCATTTTTTTAGTTGGAAGGGACATGTTTTGAAAAAAAAAAACCTTGGCTTTCTATATAGAGCTCATAGAAGTTTACTGGATAAGTCATTTTCTATATCATTAAGCCACTACGAAACAATCATGCATAGTTGACCGAATAAGCTGTTAATTTCATTAAACTTATTAAGCTGCTAACAGATAAACCCTTAGTCTTTAGTCGTTAAACCTGTAACTTTTGAATTTTACTTTTTGCTTACTATGATAGTAATTTAGATGTAATTTACTGTTTTAGTTAAAAACTAATTATAGTGTTCCTTGTCTTTTAGGTCCTATATATTGAAATAAAGTTTCTATTTTGCTAATTTCAATTTGGAAAACGGAAAACTGAAAAAGAAGGAAACACAATCTTAATCCATTATTTATCCTTTTATAGTTTTATATTATGTATTCGGGGTTTTGGTTTTTATGTCCTCCTATTGAATTTTTTTATTATAATTAATAAAAATCAACATAGGGATGAGATACTTAGCTTGAATAGGTTCTAAACTCTTTAAAAAAAATAGACTTAGGGGCATTTTTTATTATTTTCGCACGGGGCATCAAAAATCTTAGGACCGGCCCTGTCTAAAGTTGCAAGGTGGCAATTTTGTAATTATTGAGAAGTCTTGTGGCGTTTATGAATTATCAAATCTGACGATTGTAAATCTAATCCAAGGATTGAGAATTGGTCTTACGGGTCTCACGAAAAACCATTGGTCTCACATGATCCCAAGTCCACACACACATATATATATATATATATATATATATATAGAAACTAAAACAAGAACACAAGTTTCTCTTGGGAGAGTTGGTTTGCACGGCTTTTTTTTCTACCCTAGACTCGAGTTTGAATCTCTTTAGTGTCGTTTTGTTAGTTTTTAGCTTTTAATTTCATATTTATCATGATTCTGGAAAAAAATTATAAAAAAACTTAGACACAAAACCTCACATATGAAATACAATGAAGTAACTGACAGAACAATAATAATTTTCTAAAATATATCTTTATATTTGTTTTTTTTAGTTAAATAGTGTCACCACTTGAAAAAAGAATTTAGTTCCGTCTCTGATATTTAGTTGACTACTTTCTTGCTACCACTATCATCAATTCTTAGGTAGTGTTTGGTACGTAGACGAGATGAGACGGGACAGGACGGGACGGAACGGTACGGGACAAAACAGGATGGGATTAAACAAGACGAATTGTTTGTCCTATGTTTGATACGACTAAGACAGAATGAGAACAAACTATTAAAATAACTATATTACCCCTAAATGTTGTTCAATGTTATTTTATATCATATAATAATTGTAAAATGACAACAAATCAATCAAAATATTGTCATATTAACTTTAGTCCCATATTGTTCCACCTTTTTTGGTGGAACAAGAAATATCAAAATTTGTCCCACTAAAATTAAAAATAGTCCCACCATGTCCCATGTTTTTTTTGTCCATGGCATGCCAAACATGGGACTATTTTTTTTGTCTCGTCCTGTCCCATGTAGTCTGCATACCAAACGCACCCTTAAAGAACAACTACAATGGGCAAAACAATTCCACACCAAAAACTTGCCAAGAGATGAACAATTCCTTAATGAACAATTCCATTATTACCAATGTATAATACATTTAATTTAGCATACCTCTTATTTTTATTAACCTACCCGCTATGCGAGCCGGCTAATCCCAGAATGACCATCTGTTTTGCGGGTAGCCTAGAGTTGCCGCATTTAAACCTCCGTGGCCATAGGAGGATTTTTATTCCTCCTTGTATTTGAATTTAAGACTTCTAGACACTTTTAACCTTTGGTGTCAAGCTCAAACCATTTCCTTAATACTCCTTATTACCATTTCCTTATAGTGCATGTCTCTCATACCTACTACTACTAATCCTTCAATAAGTTGGCTTAACCCTTAAATAAGCCAATTTTGGCATCACTTCAGTTTGCAACAATGAACCCTCTCTTTAGTTTCATTCTTTATCTTTATTACTCTATCCAAGTTTTCTTTTATCCTTTTGCTTCTTACTTACACATAAACTACCTACTTGCCACCCAAAACAAGGTAAATATTTTACTAATCGGTCGATCCATGTTAAACAATTGTGGTCGTGAGTTATTATGGCTGATTTCTTATACTTATGATTTGTCGGGATTAGTCAAGGCATAATTTGAGAAACTCTTCCAAAAAGAAGTCTTCTACTAATTCTATCAAGTTCTCAGTTGTACAATTGTTTCCTTATTTTTACCTTTGGACCATAATCTCAGAGCATCTCCAATGGAAGGTTCTTGTAAGTAAAAAGTGTAGTGACTTAATTCTTATAAGAACCTCATCCCTCTAGGTGTTTGAACAAAAACTTTGATTCTTATCGTAAAGTTTGTGTAAAGTGACATTTTTCTTATTTTTTATTTTATTTTCTTGACTTTACAATTATTAATATAATAATTATTGATATTGAAAGAATCAATAGGACCCACAAAAAGAACGTCATTGTGAACTTTTAAGAGATATCTTAATTTGATGAGTTGGAGATGAGTTGACAACAAAAAGTGTAAAAATGAGATTCTTATAAGAACCTCCATTATTTATAGTTATATCCGCACATGGTTGTTTTTGCCAATAGACCGAGTTTGGATCCTTCACGTACTTATTAGTTAAGATTGTCAATCATCATGCAAATTAAGCTTAGATCCAAATACCTTATTATGTGGACGAGCTATCGTTTTTAGGGTAATTAGCCATTAATTTCATTAAGCTTAGATCCAAATATGCTTTTACTAATGGAGAGTTTTTCATCTTTCTTGAAGCATTATTTTTCATTAGAGAAGAATCATTTAGTTTCTAAGAGGCTGTTTGACAATTGCTAAATGGTTTGATGCAAAATGATTAAATGGTCAAAATGATTAAGAGTCTCTCATGATATAATACAAATAAAATATAATTATTTGGTAATTGTATACAATAAAATTAGGGCTCTTAATCATCAAAAATATCCATGATACAAAATCATTTAGAAGGTATTAGAACCATTAAAAGACAAGTCTTTTTTTTTTGCCAAACAAGATTATCTTTTAACGATTTAAATATTGCCTCTTGATAAAACTATTAAGAAGTAAACAAACAACACCTAATACCCTCTCACCCCAGTACCCTCAACTTTGAATCCTTCATTTTGTAGGCTTTGATCCACTTAAAATAAAGGCACATTCTTTCGATAAATAGTTAGGGTTGAAATGGCATCCAGATGAAATTCATTTTAAAATTTTCCTTCAAAGATCAAGTGTTGGTCTCTTGAATTGTGAGGAATGAAGCCATTAGTTAAAATCTTGATGTTCAACTGAGATCTCATGAACACAAATTTGCAAAACCACATAGACCCAGAATTTTACTGCAAAACAATATTTCAAAGTCTGAAGAAAAAAAGAAACTGATATAACAAGTCCAAGAAGCCAAAACCATGCCAAAAAACTACATAAAACAAGATCAATCAGTCTTCCTCCTCGCCCTCGTTCTCAGCAATGTTGAAGTACCGTAGCTCATAAACATTGCGGTCTTTGTTTGAAGCAATTACACGAAGCCAATCCCTCACGTTGTGCTTCTTCAAGTATTTCTTTGTCAAGTATTTCAGATACCTGAAGAATCATGAAAAGACGAAACAATTTGATTATTGGTAAATGAAAGCCATTTTGATCATTAATAAACAACACCACAAAAAATAGCAAAACCCCATTGGAATTTAACCACCAATCTTACAAGAATCAGAAAATAATCCCCAACATAAAAAGAAATAAATTTCATCAGACCAAGAAATAGAATAGATGTGGAACATCTCATTAGTTGAGATGGTAGCTCCAAGTCCATTGTTATGCATCTTTACATCACCAACATACACCTAGAATAACAAAGTTTGTGGTTTGAAAGCAATAATTCGCAGCAAAAGTTAAGTCCATAGTGTTTTATTGATTGATTTCTACATCTAACCTTGAACCCCCCCTCATCAAAACACTTGTTCTCTTTTTGTAGCAACAGTGAGCAACCCATTATCATGAGTTCACTACCACAATCATGGTAGCTGAGGAATCTCTTACTATCAATATCATCAATCTTATGAACAATGACAATGAACAAACAAACAAATTCCACACTAAAACCTTGCCAAGAGATCAATGTTGCAAATGCTAACAGACATCTCTAAAGAAAATGGTTATCATTTTAATGAGACAAAGGAGTAAATGATTTCATTCAAAAACATCAGAAAACTAGACAATGTCCTTATTTCGCATATAGGCACCTTGCATCAAATTACAAATATGCAACAATTATGTGTTGATATATTCAAAACTTATCAAACCAAAGAATCTAAGTTCCATCTACAGCAGTCGATTATGTTTGTGCAGAACTATAAATTAGACAAAATGACCAAAAACATCAGAATTATAAGCTCAAAACAATTGATATCGTGACCTCAAAACGAACAGTAAGTCAAAATAATCGTACAAAGAGCAAAGTATTCATTTAAACTGAAATAGAAACTGATTGTAGGCAAGTTCGGTACCTTTTCGAGAAGTTGCTGTCGGAGGTGACTGAGATCTTGTTCTTTTCACGAGTAATAGTAACGGAATCTCCGAGATTACCAGCTTTACCGCCAACCTTGATTCTCTCCTGCAGAAACTTCTCAAGTGATGCGATCTCCATGATCTTATCCTCAACAGGCTTCCCACAATCAATGACAAAAGTCGCTCCCTTCTTCTTTCCGCCCTTTGCGCCGGCACCTCCTGCTCCTCGACTCATCTTCGCTTCTCTGTGTCTCTCTCTGCGATTAGAACAACAAAATCAACAATCAATAATCAAACTAGTTGCTAGAAAACCTTAGATGTCTTCAGATGGATCACACACATTGAAAGCACACGCATAAGGATAGAAGATCGGAGGTGCATACCTGCGTTTTCGAAGACGGCTAGCTTGCAACTGGATAGGGGAATTGTGATTACAAGACTATAAGGGGAGGAGAAGCTCTTTTAGGGTTTTGGGTTTGTGTGAATTGGGCCGCTTGCTGGTTGCTTATTGGGTCCAGATTTGATACAACCTAAGCCCAATAAAATTCGGCCACCATCATCCAAGAATTCAATAAATTATTACATAACAATTAACGTAGTTAAAAAAAAAAGAAATCGATCAAAATAACCAAAAATTTTAACTAAATTCACTTTTTAGTCATTATTTCAATTAAAATTTTATTTTAGTTAAAGTTTATGCAAATATCTTGTATATTTGCGTAAACTTGACTTTTAGATTAAAAAGTAAAATTTGCCTAAGGATCTACATTTGTGTAAAAAATATTATTATTTTTAAATAAAAATAAGCTTTAATGTGGTTCAAAAAGTAACTAAAAAGTGAATTTGGTCGAAAAATTGATTATTTTGGTCAATTTCTTTAAAATAAAAAAAATTACTCATCGACATGTACCGTATTTTTGATATTTCAATATTTTAATTATAAATTCATTCATCATTTTAATGTGGTTTTAAAAAATCTTTATAGAAAATAATAATACATATAACCTCGTTGGTCTAAACAATTAAAAGAACATTCACTTCTCGATACTGATTTTTATATATTTCTCTAAATTTACAGCTTTTCTTCATGTTATCTCTATTTTAAAGAACATTTGAAAATAGTTATTGGATCAAAATGATCTTTCAAAATTTCTATTTTGTAATAGCGGTTGGAGATGCATTTACATACCGACAAATAGGCAACGGTAAGAAATCTGAATTTGAAAACGAAAATACTGATAAATCATACATATATATATATATATATTATATCCATTATATTAATCAACTTAAATAATATAAATTCTTGTACAACTTAAATAATATAAATAATCTTACAAGAATTTTACAAAAGGTTTTTGAAAATTTTGGGCAAATATACATAATCCTACCATTTAAGATCTTACACCAGCTGGAATTTTACTAATTACTTTTATTAACCTGGATTAGAGATGGCCAAAAATCGGTCCCGGGTCGGGCCTTAACCGGTTACGGCCGGGCCTAATCGTGACAAAAACCGACGTTAACCGGTCCCTCCATAACCGGTCCCGGTCCTGACGAAAATCACTATAACCGGTCAAGCTTTCATATAACCGGTTAAGGATAACCGGTCCCGGTTCCGGTCCTATAACCGGTTACGGCCGGTCCTTTGAAAAAAAAATTTATTTTTTTATTATTTTTTTGGTAATTAATAAATTAAAAATATGTTATTAATATTTTCGAAATATGTTATTTTTAATATGTTTTATTATAAATACGTTTTGTTATGTATTATATATATACGTTTAATTTTATAAATACGTTTYGTTATATACGTTTAATTTTAAAAATACGGTTTACTCAAGTACACTTTAAAAGTACGTTTTATTATGATTAAAGTGACATTGTTTTACAAAATGCTAATAAAATACATTTATCTATCAATCTTCATCGGTATCCCATGTCGGATTGACTTAAAGAGTTCCGGTCTCTTGAATTCTTCTAATAGCCTCATTTGCGTTTTTGAAGATGAGAAGTGTTGGTAACTAACTAAGGAACTTCCATCTCTATTTATACATGTTTTGGTAGCTAAAAAGATGAAAAAAACGGTCATAACGGTAACTAACGACTAGTTTGACTTTCTAACCGCTAGTTTGACTTTCTAACGGTAACGTTGACTTTTTCGTTGACCGGGTCGGGCCCATAACCGGTTGCGTAACCGGTTCCGGTCCAAAAAATCGCGAATTATCCTAACCGGTTCGTAACCGCCGGTCCTTAACCGGTTATGGCCGGTCCCGGTCGGTTACGGTTACGAGTCGGGCTCGGTTCCGGGCCTCCGTCGGTTACGGGCCGGGCCGGTTACAAATGGCCATCTCTAACCTGGATATCCAATCCGCTATATAAGCCGATTAATCGCAGGACGATTCCCTGCTTTACAGGTAACCCAGAGTCGGCGTATTTAAACCTCCATGACCACAAAGAGATTTTTGTTCCTCCTTCGTTTGAACCTCTAGACACTTTTGAAATTTAGAACCGAAGCTCAAACCAATCAGACACCATACTTGTGGTTCTAATTTTCTTTGGGTTGATTTCCAAAAGATGTTCAACATCTCATTTACAAACTGATGATTTATATTAAATAACTTATCATGTAAAACAATAATATGATAATAGGAAGATATTACCTGTTTTAACCAGAAATAAATTTTACAAGTCACCTTCACACAAATGTTATAGATTACAGTATTAGTTAATAAAATAATTTCATAAACCAAGGTCTATTTTACTTGATTAGTTTAATGATATAGAAAGTAGCTTATTCATTAAGCTTTTAAGACGAGTAAAAGCCAAAGTCTTTTTCAAACTTGTCCATCCCAAATTTTTCTTTAAAAAAAGAGAACTCTTAATTTAAGAGAAAAGAAGTAGAATAGGGCAACTAGTATATTATAGTATCAGAATAAACTCTAAGAAAGGTTTTAACTTGTAATCCATAAACAACCAACATCAGAAGAATCATACATCCAAAGACCTCCATGTTAGAGGTTGCAACTTTCTCAAGCTTCCAACCACAAACAACAAATCCAGAGCTTGCTTCCTGCAGTTTGGGGGAAATGTTTAGTGAATGCTTTATTACTCTAGTTTATTCTTTATATATATATATATATATATATATATATRTGTGTGTGTGTGTGTGTGTGTGTGTGTGAAGGTTCATATATGAAACATTGAAAAAATCCATTTGAAACTGCATATGTGAACTTACATGAATAATTTGTAATGTTGGTTTACATATACATCTTCAAATAAAAATTTTCATTGATTCACATACGAACACTCCCTTAACCTTCCTTTCCTACTTTCACATGATATTTAGTTTTCTTATTTGAACGGGCCTCTTATAAAGCATTCAGATAAGAAAGTTTTTGAAACAGCCAGTTGCATCTTATATTGATCTTTCTTTGCTACACACACTGAAAGACCTGTTTGTTAGCAGCTTAATGAGCTTAATGGGACTCGTAGCTTATTCAGGTAATCTATATATTACTGTTTGGTAGTGGCTTAATGATACAGAAAGTAGCTTATTCAGTAAGCTTCGAAGGGGAGCTTTATGAAGAAAGCCAAGTTTTTCCATACCTGCCCCTCGCAATTAAAAGACACGCTCCTTCCGTCTAAGAAAAAACCCTCCCAAACAAAAACCTTCTCAATCTCTACAGATAGATTACATCTATATATTACTGTTTGGTAGTGGCTTAATGATACAGAAAGTAGCTTATTGAGTAAGCTTCGAAGGGGAGCGTTATGAAGAAAGCCAAGTTTTTTCCATATCTGCCCCTCCCAATTAAAAGACACGCTCCTTCCATCTACGAAAAAACCCTCCCAAACAAAAACCTTCTCAATCTCTACAGATAGATTAATCCACACAGACAGCTTTATCCAGACAGAACTTAATGGAAAACCCACCAAACAGCCCCTATATAAGCATGCTAGCTTAACAGCCGAATCAAAAATAAAGACTGGATGCAGATTCATACCTCTCACTTGGGATTTCTCAGTACAATGATGACAGAATCCCCTCGAAGAAACATCTTGCTGATGAATCTGTCTTTGTTAACAGGAAGAGCTTTCTTCTTGCCTTTTCCTGTTTTCGGCACCTGATGTACAAAATATATTTTAATAGAATGTATACATACAACCTTGTTTTATTTTGCTTGTGGAAAACACTAACCTCTGTCCACATTTCTCTAACATTTTCGAGCACCATGTTACAGTGTCGATCAAAAGCTCTCACACGCCCTAAAAGCTTTTTATTGTTCCTGCAGTTGATGAGCACCTGGATGTGCAACAAATTGACAAAACTGTCATCCATAAGACCAAGGTCGCTTAAAAAGTCGATTCAATGTAATTTCAAGTATTAACAGCAGTGTTGTATAAACATGGTGTCACTCAATTCTGTTTGTCCCTATTAGCTTTAAGGGTGCGTTTGGTAACTAGACAAGACAGAAGAAAACAAAACATAACTGTTGTTCAGTGTTTCGTAAGACAAAAGTGGACAAGATTGATAAAATGATCAATTTACCCTAATGAGTTGTTTATATATTTTATTTTGATAATTTATGCATTTTATTAAATTATAATAAAATAAATATTTTATAAAATAAAAAATATTTTTATAAAATAATAAATGTTTTATAAAATAATAAATATTTTTATAACAAAATATATCATTATAAAGTTTTCGTCAAGACTAAAATGACACAAAAATATTAGTTCATTAATTTCCAATTTTTATTTTATACCTTTTCTATTTTTTTATTATTATTAATAGTTAATAAATTACATAAAGTAACCAAATATAGAAAACATATAAAAATAATATTTTGAGAACAGTAACGTGAGAGTCTAATAAGGATAAAATAAACAAATAAAATTTAAAGAAAGGAAAAGAATGAGATGTATTTGATGTTTTTAGAAAATAATTAGGGTTTATTTTGAGGGTATATTGGTAAAATATAGGCTTCTTCCACCTCGTTCAATGGGATGGGGGTGGAACACGTCTGTTCCACTTTGTTCTTGTATGTTCCACATAAAAGTCATGCCAAACGTGAAACAATGATCCTTGTAAAAGTTATGCTATGTTCAGTGTACCAAATTGAGAACCAAATTTATGAAAAAGATCTATTACCTGCGTGTTATTTTTGACACTCATCATCAAGACAGAGAGGGGCCCAGTGTTGAACTCCTCTTCCTCATTCTTGGTCTGCTGCCAAATTTTACAAGACATCATATTTTTATGTGAACTTTTTCCAAAACATAAAAGAAACAATTTACATCATAATTTTAAGGTAAATGATCGAAGAGTATGTAATAAATATCCTATCTTACAAGAAAAGCATAAAAAAGAGGATGACAAATACACACTACAAACACATGTATCAAAATGCATATTCAAAAAGTAGTAAGCTACGCGTGAAACATAAACCTGAAGAAAATGGTAAGTGTTGTTTTCATTTATGGATAAGTTATATCTGATAAATACATTTGCATGGACACAGGTTCTGTCTGTCTGGAATAAATGATAAATAAATAATTGTTGTTTGTTAAATATGCTTTGTTAGGATGTGGAGGCCTGTATGATACGAGAGGGGTAAGATGATAAAAAGATGGTCTTAATGGGGAAAGCATAACCACAATGACTTACTATTAAGTCAGTGATGTATTAATTAAGTCGCAAACAAACATCATATATGGGTTCGAATAAGCCATCCAGCCATTTAAATTCTAGTTGGACACTTCTTTGTTTAGCTTTAATAAATTTTAACAAAACTTTATACACAAAAAGCAATTTATACAGCTTGAAAAATAAAGTTAAATACCCATCCCATTGCCGTCGCCGAAGAAAAGCATCGTTCTTTTTCTTATTTCACTTGCCATATACTAGATATTTCTACCAATGTTCCATTTGCTAGAAAAAGTTCACTATTATAGTATGCAATACAAGCTTCACGCACTGTGTGGCTCAGATTATGAGTGACTACAAGAAAATGATGCTATACAACGTAGATATTTGTGCAATTCTCTTTAAATGGAGGATAATTTGGTCTCTATGAACACCAAAAGGCTTAAAAAAACCACAAGAACTAACGAACCTAAATTGTTCGATAAAAAAAGAAACTTACTTGTCCATCTTCCTCCATTGGTCGACTGCAAAAATTAGGAACAAAAAATGGCATAGTGAATAAGAAACCCAAAACAGAAACATACTTTAACCATTTAGGGCTTAATTAAACGCGAATTGCGTAGGAAATTTACAATTAGATTACCTCATATTCGATTTGCAAGTAAGACTGACGGAGTACTACCTGAAAACAGAAAATCTGAAATCGAGAATCAGATTAGGGTTTAGGGTTGTGGATATAAAACCCTAATGGAAATGTAGCGGTAAAGGGAGTTAAAAATCTGAATCAATTACCACAATGGAAGCAAATGCTAACGAAAATGAAAGATAGAATTGAATGGTTTAATCGACGAGGTACCTATTTGCGACGGCGGGAAGACGGTGGAGTAGAGCTTAGATCGCTGCTGAACGATGAAGACGGAAGAGAAACGACGGAGGCGGGTTTATGAGCCCTAAACCTTTTGCATCCGGGTCGTTTCCAAAACCGCAGGTGGAAGGCACGTGACTCCATTCTTTTTATGTTTTTAAAAAATTACGATTGTCACCCAAAGGAGAAGACTTAAATCAGTGACCGATACTACTAAAAGAGGTTACTTGAAATAACTGTTTTATATATAATGTCAAATTTACAATGAATTATATATATATATATATATATATATATTAGAAGCGTACTCGCGCAATGCAGTAAGATACATCGTGTTTTTAATATTTCATTTTATTCTTTATCTCAGTCGATGTTATAATATGGCTTTATGTGATTTTAAGAAAGCGATGATGTTTTTATTTTTGAATAATATATATGTTTGACGATATCATAAAAATTTGACAAAAGTATATCGATATTAGTATCAAATTAACTATTTGAAATT